GTGGAACTAAGTAAAAAGATTACTAGCATTACTTCTCAGGAAAAGAGGAATTGAAAGAATGACAATGAATCGACCGCAGAGCATAAAATAAGCAAGAGCCATAGGAAGTCGGAATTGGTCATATCATTCAAGAACTCCTTAAATTATTAAACAAAACGAAAATTGTTTGCATGCAACCTGTGACTTACACAAAAAGTTCCTACATTCATCAATAAACTATGATGACACAAAGCATTAAAAAAATCGAAAAGGAATCAACGTCTAACACTGCATCGACGAAACTTGCGCACACTCAAATAGCACTAAATCCAATGGCCTGAAATGTTGGCCTTTTGCCAAATTTAAAACAAAGCAGCCAGCTAAAATGACATAAAATGCGGTAAGTCAGGCGGCTGAGTAAAAACAAAGGTATGTGGAAATCAATCATTCAGAAATGCAGCAAAACAAAACATAACTGCGCAAAGGCACGAAGTAGGATCCGGAAGGGTAAGAATGCAGTCTTTATTTAGGGCTACTGTGCAAAATAGTGCGGCGTGGTCAACAAAATGGCCGATCGGTCAACCGCAATTTTGAAATAACACAAATCTTCAACATATTCGACACCGGCCTAGAGATGAGCACCCAACAGCCAATAGAAGGAACTGTAATATCGCCCTCCCCGCATCAGCCGCAGTAAATTTTTGCGCAAATGCATGCACGAATTTACTATTCCTCAGATGGTGTGTTAAAAATTTCGGGAAAAATATTGCAATTTTGAGATAAGATACCTTTGTGAGGAGCTATCATTATGGTGGTGCATCTAATTAAATGTAGTCAAAAATTCCCATTACCTCCTGTAGTTCATGCATATTAAGTTCTTGATTATGAATAACAGTGTATTTTTTTAAAAATGATAATAATGCCCATATTTTGAAGCCGAAAATAATTCACAAAAACTCAAACGGAAAAGAGATAAGCGGGATATCACGAAATGTAAATATCGAATTTAGTCAGTGTTGCCAGTTTAAGGCAAAACGTTCCTTCAACCAATTAGGCGGAAATTAATCCTTGATTAGAGGTATGAGGTTTCAACTGTCTCATTTCTCCACAAGTTTGTTATAGTTCTGAAATTCGCATGAGGGACTGATTAATATTCGAGCCCTGCTTTATCATAATCTGTTGTAAGTAAACAGTGGTCAAAATTTGGTGAGCCAGTGTATGGCCTGCCAGACCAAAATTAAAGGATCTCTATCAAGAGTACGAGGATTTTACCATAGTCCAAAACGCTGCAGACGGTTTATGAACCATAGGCAAGATAGATGCGTAACAGCGCTAGTAGTTACATTGTAATTTGTAAAAAACGCAAAATAATTATCTATTATTTTACTTAAAGGTTTCCAAAGGTATAATGTGGTCAGTGAAAGGACTTTTTTCTTCTCTCACAAAATGATTCTAGGTGCTCAGAAAGTCACAATAAATTTGTAGCTTAAACCCATGACCTAAAGGTTAATTCGAGCGGTAACACCGCGCAATAACTCCTTATCACATGTAATCATGCATTCTTCGGTGTTTTGCATAGACTCTGGTTGTAAATTTAGCAGGGGAACTTATTCCTTTCTCGTATTCTAGCCACTGTTTGTTGCCCCTTTAATGTTGATTACAACGCAATTTTATGGAAGTACCTCTTAATTAAGCTCTAAACGATGTTTAACTTCCTTATTACCTATGTATATTCAAGACAGTCTGCTTTATTCTTCGTTTTTATATCCATTTCCTATTTTTACTGTGGTGTTGAATATTCTAGCTCAGGTTATGGCCACTGACAACAAACAGCCTCATGAAAATCCATACCCACCATGGTATCACTCGCTGCATGCCTACAGTCGTGCCTCCGATGACTTACGTCGTCAAGCCGAGCTAATGCGACAACGTGGCAAAGCCATTCGCATCGAAAGCGATGCTCTTGCAAAGTGATCACCCCATTCAATGCTATGCTCTACTCCTTAAACTTAATTCACACTTTCGGCTTCAGTTAGTGCCTTTGTTGATTTCGATCACAGCCTCTCCTCTGTGGATACAGGCTGCACTATTTCCATCGTTAATATCATTTATGTTTTGCTACCTAAATTATAAAAGTTATAGCTGAAACCATACCAAAAGAATAACTTTTGTCTTTGCCGTCATTAAAGCTGTAGTAGGTCTATAATTATCGACATTAGAGCCACTTATAATGCAATCCGATTCATTTGCTTCCCAGATATTACCAGTTGGACGTGAACAATCGTTTGCACGATCGCATTCAATGCAACCGTGAGTGGTTGCATATGCTGCTTGACTTGCTGAACGCGATTATTTCAGTCACACAGACTCTTGGCGATATCAAGATCCAGGCTGATCAATTCCTCGCTAACTTAAATGACGCAATGACAGTCAACGTGGAGTCCCTCACGCATCGGGACACCCGACGTGATGGTGATTACGTGCTTGATGATGTTCAGGAACATCTTCGCAAAGTATATGCAAAATTATGTGAATTTAGGCGTTTTCCATCCACATCAAACGAGTGATACTACTTTTGTTGTCCATTTTTCTGCCTTGGTAGTACTTATTTTAGTCTGCCTGCAAGCTAACTCACTTCTACTTATTTCCACTTTGACCAGGAAGCCCAATTGCAAAAGGAGATACGCGACGAATTGCAGGGCATAATCGATGATGCAGTTGTGCTTTTACAGACTCTGATCGCCATACGCAGAGAGGTGGAGGAGGCCATCGACAATAAAAAGAAGACCATTGAAATCGATGTGGATGTCCATAACGCCACCGAAAAGTCTGCCAATATTAGCTTTAAGCCTTTCCACGAACGTAATGTCAAGACGTAAGTCGTCACACATGGTAATCAGTAGCACCTTCGCTACGCCGTCATGCGTGTGCCATTCCTGCCCTAATTTTCTCACTTAGACCTGCCTGTCACACATGCGTGACGCAGTTAAGTGATGGTGTGTAAATTGTTGTAGAAAGGAAAGATGCTATCAGAGAGGGAAGCTTTTTATTGGAGGTAAAATCACCAAACCCCTTAAACACTGTCAACAGGTAGCGACAAAAATCAAAGAA